ACATCTTAGGACAGAGAGCATGCCTCGACACCAGTAAAAAGGATCTCTGGTTTTATACACTCACTATACGAAAACCAGTTGCATAAAGCTGCTATTATTTACGCTAGTAATCCGTTAGTGCTGAGTTATTTCTTTCTTTAAGCCCTTCTGTTCGATATAGGCCTCTCCTTTCGTAGGGAGAGAGAGATATTATGGCAAAGAGATTTTTAATATTTCTTGGATTTGCCATGTTTTGAAGGTATCAATGGGTTTCAAATATCATTTGCGTTGTACTTCAAGTTTATTGGTTACCAAATGTAAAATACCGGTAGGTTGAACAAGAACTATACAGTAAATCTTTCCTGTAATGGAAAAAAACACATCCAGTTGTCCAACCATAGACTGCTTACTATCTGAGGAATGAAGCCCGCATTAAAAAAAAATTGTGACCTATTTCATTTGGTATAAATAATATATGTAATAGGGCCAATAAATTTGAATCTTGGTTTGCCTATAGACCGATTTACACTTCGACAAGTACAGTAGCGAGTTAACTTGTGAAACTGGCGAGTTAAGTTTGAACCTCGTTCGAACGGCAATAAGCGAGTTAAGTAGCAAGTTAACGATTAAGTTGAACGGGATAGCCGGCCGAGCTATTTTTCGGCGAGTTAAGTGCGAAGTTCTGCCCTCCCGCGCGTCTGCCGCCATCCGCAACTAAACTCGCCGTTCGTGTAAACGAGCGAGTTTAGTTCAGTGTATAAGTTGACAGGACGCAAAGTTTGCGCGCCAAAACTTACAATTGTACTTTTATAATTAAACTCGCCACAAAATTTGTACGATACTGTTTATTGAATATTTATACGTTTTATATTGAGTTTTAATAATGAAATGGACGGAAGATATCACGTATAAATTTGTACAGGAGTATTAATATAACGAATGTTTATGTAATAGTAGAAGTTCAAATTGTAAAATTAAATCTGCTCGAGATGCTGCACTCATGAAAATTCTTAAAAACTTCTTTAAAAACAACCATTAATGATTCTCTGACTGGATCATTTATTCTTGAACGAAAACCAGAAAAATTCTGTAGTCTTGAAACGTCATACTCCGACGAACTCTATGAACTAATGTCCCTAACTAAACTCGCCACGAAGACACTGGGTGCGTTTGGCAGAAAAAAGCGCTAGCAAGCGCTTATAAGCGCTGAAATAGTTTTCGGCCAGGACACGATTGCTACTTCAGTAGCGCTGACACAGTCCGCCATTTTGCTTATTTATTTTGTTTGTTTTGAAGTAGAGTTTATAAGTTGTTTTGTGCAATATTAGTTTCAAGTAATATAATGACATGAATAAACATATACATGTTATTAAAAATTCATGATTGGTAAGTTTTTAATATTAATACTTTACAAACATATATTTAAATTAGGTTAGGTTCCCCTGTTAAAACTAACATCGTGTCCTGGAGGAAAATAGCTACTTACGATTTGACAGCGCTTACCGCTTACGATCGCCATTTTGCTTACAAGCGCTTGCTAGCGCTTTTTTCTGCCAAACGCACCCACTGTTTGAACGCTACTGCCCACTTAACCGTTCACTGTCAACTGCCCTGTAACTAAACTCGCTACTGTACTTGTCGAAGCGTAAATCGGTTTTAAGTGCAATTACTGTATGTATATTAATACACCTACCTCCAAGGAACCATAATAAATTCCTAATGCGGGCGTGGACATTATTTAAAAATAAAAACAATAACAATACCGATTTCAGTCTTCTTTGCTAATGATTTAATGATTTTTAAACATTTTAATGATTTAATATTATTTTTTTGATAGTAGGTATCATATTACTTCATCGAATAGTAATTAAAGAATTCCACAGTGATAATATTTCTATTCGTCGTAACCACCGAACGATCAGATGCGTAGGCTCACCCTACATCATTGCGTAAAATACAATACAATACAATACAAATAAGTACAATACGATACAATACTCTTTATTGTACACTTAGGAAAGATAAATATAACAAAACTAAACAAATATTGAGAGAGAAACAAAAGGCGGTCTTATTGCTACATAGCAATATCTTCCAGTCAACCGAAAAATGTTAAGAATATTTATTAAGAAATCCTAAGTTGTTGACGAAAAGGTATGTTAACCTGGGAGCTGGGACAAATTAATGTTCCGACTAAGAATCCATCTTCGTTTAAAATATCATTTGACGAATCCAACTCGGCAATGCAGCGTTCGGAAGGTTATGAGTTATGACACATCTTGTCAAGCGTTGCACATAAAAAGAAGAGTGTACCAGTACCACCAGTGCGTATTGCCATTGATGACATAGCGATCTATAGATAAGGAAACTTAAGGTGAAGAGTAAATAGTAGGTAAGTAATTAACCTTAGTACCCGCTCAGCACAACGGATTAGTTATCTAAAGTGGCAATCTATCTAAGACCCCTCTGGCATTTCCTAAAGTTGCTTCTAACGATAACGATGAGTCGATATTGGGTGTTAATCATGTAACGCCGCTAAGCCGCGGAGAGATTGTAAAATAAAGTCTAAATGAACTCTACCAAATGACAAACAAACTTGAAGTCTATTTTATGTTATGCTTTACACTTTTTTCTTAACACGTAAATTAGGACTTAGGAGTATTTACGTGCTTAGTGCAATTAGGATAAGACTATAATATTATACTTTTGGATTTTGTATGTTAACTTGTAACAATTGTAGGTACATAGATCTTTATAAAATAAATATGATCTATGCACCTATAGAGATATGTTATTCAGTTACTGTGACAATACTAAGGGGACATCGTCATGAAGAACATGCACATGGTTATAAGCTGCTATAAAGTGCAATCAATATGATTATGTTATGCCAATGGCCAAAATAAGCGTTGGATTGGCTCATCGACCTAAAGACCCGAAAATCCGTTTCACTGCGCCTACACCAAGTATTATTAAATGACATCAAAGGCGTAGGTATACGTTACGTTGGTGTAACTTGTTCACCGTCATTAGGAACTGAATCTAGTGTGTATTGTTTGTGTGGCAAGAAAATTTCTTACGTTAAACTTTATGTACTAGTTGCCTTGTAATTGGTTTAAAACTATTAGACTGTAGTTGTTTCAACAATATAATGAAATGTCCATTACAAAAGTATACCTACTCTATATTATTTATCGGTAATTATTGTTTTGTAGGAAGCTTTACATTCTCATCGGTGTCCGGGCACTTCATCGGTAAATAAAAAAATAGATTTTGAGCTACCAATCTTTGTAATATCCTGTATCATACATTTATAAAAGCCTAAAAGCTGTTGAATTGATGAACCTTATCAATCCAAAATTAAGGAAAACGATGCTGTGTTTTACCGACAAAAAGTTGCACAGGGTTTGCCTAATGCCTAGGGTACGTAGTAGCAAATAATATATATTCTTTGCCTTGGGTTGTGGGTTGGAGTCTAGCTGTAACATAAATACTGAATTATTTTGCTTTTTTTTCCTCATACAATACTTAAAATTTAAAATCTAGCCACCGGTGTAAAGGCGTCTACATCTGTAATCTATGCATCTATACCTAAGTAAAATTGGATCATCGGTATGTAATAATAAAATAATTTGCTTATATTCAGGCTCAGGGGGTTATTAGAATGCTATTAAAAGATAAACCTGCATTTTTAAATTTTTTGTATGTCTGGCTATTCTTCGAATTGGCTGAACCGATTTACACAAAACTTTACGAATAGATAGAAAGGAATGTCAGAATATCTAGGGTATATTTTACGAAAAACTTGAAAACTTTCCATTTTTTAATAAAAGAACAATTGAAAAAATAGAATGTTTGATTATATAACGTCGCATTAGTAGATTATTTCCGGGGGAAGTATTAGCGGGTCGCTCGTATAAAATATATTTATTCCTAAACAAAATAGTTTTGCAAAATGTTTTCGACAACATACACAACAACATATACTCTTTCTTGTAGCCTGCTGTAAATTATTAGATATCTATGTAAAAGTTGTTGTTAGTGAAATTATTTAAGTTTTCTGATCTTCAGTTAATGAGATGTAATACGTAAATATTAATTGATAATTTTATACTCAATTGTGTTACATAAACTCCTGTCACCTAGAGGGGTAGGCAGAGACTACGGAGTTCCATTTGGCACGATCCTGACCACAGAAAACTAAATAATAATTGCCTTATTATTTAGATTTCTGTGATCCTGACATACCTCTTTCGCCTCCTTACATCCATATATCTACGCATACACGCTCGTCGGTTAAGGGTACTCCTAATGTGGCCCATTTTCAAAATATCGCCAATTTGGTCAATGAACCTTCTTTTATTCCTTCTTTTGTCCCTGCCTGACTCTGCCGATCACATCTGCAATATTACTTTGTCACTCTTCCCTCGGTCATTTTTTCTATATGAACAAACCCATTAATTTATCTCATTTTTCTCTTATCACGCAATTTCTCATCCTGTCATTCAGATTCAGTCCTAGCATACTCCTTAGCGACCGCATTTCTACAGCATTTATTCTACTTTCGTGCTTCTTCTACCACACCCAATTTTCACTACCATAAATTAAATTAGGTATTAACACAGCATTATTAATTACCTTTTTTGATATATTCTGATTCTTCATAATAGTGTAGACTACTGTACTGTACTGTGTAGTGTAGAATACTGTAGACCCCATTCACTCTATTTCCCGCAAATAATTCAATTGTATCAGTATTAAAGTACTCTGTCTCAGTACAGTAAGATCTCTCCACGCCAACCGTTTTTTGCACACCTTATAGGTAATTTGCTGATTGAGTTAGTCCTATAATAAATCATCGGTGAACGCTGTTATTATCTTTGGTCTGCGTCATTTTCAGCTATGTACACATGCATCATCAATTCAGCGATAAAATGGTGATAACGATTTTTATCATTCTACTACGATTACACGACGAACATAGATGTGCTTGTTTCGCGCCTGTACTTAAAATGCGCGCTATGATATTTTTGACGTTTTGCTTTTTAATTTATAATGTCAGTGGTCAAAATGAGAACAGTGTTACGAAGGAAGTACAGAGATTAATAAAACTGTGTTCATATTGTACGTGTAGTGAAATTCCGGATATCGATGGTACTCATTTAGTGTTAAATATACTGTGTTCAGAGTTGGACAGGATAGAAAACGTCGCCGATTTGGATAAAATACAATGGCCGGAGAACCTCAATGGATTGAAAATCGCCGCTACTTTCGAAGGATTGGGACTTGTTACACTTGGAAAGTAAGTAACTGGGATGTAGCAGAGTAAGCTATTTAGTATCTACAACGTATGGTTTTTTTTTAATAAATACTTATTTGTTTTGTTGACGATATTTAGGTACTTCTTACCATCTTGTATTAACATCATGATGTGTAATTTTCATAAACTTTCTACTTAAGATTTTTTCACTATTGTAATGATAATTTCCGAGGGTTATGTACAGTAATGATTTAGATTAACATTTTTAACAAAAGACCTTGATGTTGTCTTATCTTAATGTACATAAAACCTCAAACGTTTAAAACCATAATAAAAGAGATTTTTTAATGGAAATAACTAAACTCACCATACTATGATTTCGTTACTGTGATCATGAGAGGAAAACTTTTGTAACGTAGAATAAAAAATATTGTTAATATTAGGAATGATTTTCTACAACGGTTAACAGTGATTTGATTTCGTAATAAATAGGACCTATAATTTTTTAAATAAAACTGGTTTTTATGGATTTTATCGCATATTTTAAGTTATTTTATATTCCTGATGTTTCGAGCACTTTACAGCATCCATGGTTACGGGGGGGGGGGGGGCTGAGGTGTTCGACGTATAAATGTCATAGGTTACCACGGCTACCTTACGATTAAAATTATTAATTTTTGTTCAGAACTTATAGTATCTTGAAGTCTTGCAGTTGTGTGCTTGGGTTGAGATTTAATTTTATTAATATAGGACCCAAAGCAGATGGGCTCAGCCATCTTCTCTATTGAAATTAGGATGTTTTTTTGATTTCAATAGCCTCACGAATCATCCTTGGAAAGAATCGGTGTTCTTTAGCGAGGATTTGTGGTCCATCAAATCTGATGTAGTGATGGGGGCATTCTTGTACGTGTTCATAGCCTGCAGACTTCCCGGAGCGTCGATTCATCACATCAGCTACACCTATACTTATTGTATCGGTTAATTATTAAGTAATATTTATAAAAATGGAGTAGGTAACTAGTTAAAATAGGTAAATAAGGAATTATTTTATCTTGTTACCTACTCCTGTGAATAAAATTGAAACATCACCATCATCATCACTGCAACCTATCAAAGTCCTCTGCTGAACATACGAGGAGCGTCCAATGTATTCTCGGTATTAAGGAGATTTGCTAATAATAAACTAACAACACTACCTGAGGGTAAAAATATGTCTTAATAACTTCATTGTTTCTTATGTAACCTTAAGTCATAGACGACGGGAATGACTGACACAACAATGTTGAAAAAAATTGAACACCGTGATGTTATTAAATTCCTCACTAAACAAGGATACACTCAAAAAAACATCTATGAAGAAATGGTGGCCGTTTGTCAAGAGTCTGCTCCTTCAGTGTCAACCGTGTAGAATTGGTTAAGTGAATTCAAAAGAGGCAGGGAAAGCATCGAAGATGGGGCAATGTTGGCCAATCACAGCGGTTACGAAAGAAAATGTGGAATTATTGAAAAACTTGTATTAGAAGATGCACGAGTTAATAATTATAATTAATACACAACATATTGGATGACTATCTCAACCTTGGTGCCGCGAATGCTCACTGAGCTTCAAAAGCAGACGCGGATTGACTACTGTAGACAGTTTTTAGAGCTATGTGTGGTGACGACTCAACAAGGGTTTTCAATAAGATGAAACGTGGGTTCACCCAATGGCGGATATTCAAATTTTGCCGCCTCTGCCTACTTCTACAAGTTGATGCCCATGTAGTTCACAATCATATTATCTATAACATTTTTCTTGCCAATGAAGTTCTAACTTTATGACTTGTGGACTATAGTCCTAATTACACCACCTTTTTTCTAAAAATATTTTCATTTCCGAAATAATGGCAGAAAATATTTCCTGATCTTTCGTTATAAAATTTAATTCTCTTTAATTTCTATGAGACAAAAAATAATAATTTGCCTCAAATTTGCCGCCCCAAAAATCTGCCGCACTAGGCTTCAGCCTACTCAGCCTGCTGGTAAATCCGCCACTGGGTTCACCATTATGACTCTGAGAGTAAACAGGAGTCTATGCAATGTCATAAAAAGGGATCAGAACTCCCCAAGAAATTCAGTCACTCCATCGGCCGGTAAAACCATGGCCATAGTGTTTTGGGGATTCCAAAGGAATATAATTGATCGAGTAAAAAAAAAGGTAAAACCATCAACACAGACAAATACTGAACCACTTTACGGCATTTAAGAGAAGTAACAAAAAAGAGAAGAGGAAAGAAACTAAGGGAGTGCTGCTTCTTCGTGACAGCGCACCAGTTCACATAGCGCTGCTCTGCGAAGCTGCTGTACGAACCTGTGGGTTTGAGGAAATTAACAACCCACCACACAGCTCAGAACTAGTAACTATTTTTTTATCCCAAACATAAAAAGGCCGATTTGCTGACGGTAATGAGCTCAGGTCCGCTGTAACTCATTTTTCAGGTCAATGCGAAGTATATTTTTTCAAGGGAATAAAAAAACCTTTTTCGCAAGCAAGTAAATGTATGAGTATGTATGTCAATATATATCTGTACAATATATTGAAAAATAAAAAATATTTCACAATTTTTACTTTTTTCTAACATACCCATATCGATAATACATTAAACGCCCCTCGTAGGTAGGCCGTGTTGGTTGACTGGTCTAAGCTAACATCATGCATCCAGGTGAAAATCGTGATTGGCATTGTTTGAATGATAGAAGTTTGATTTCGTTACATTGTTGTTAATGTATCAGTATCCAATATCGGCTATAAATTATTTAACATTACAAAATATGAACAATACGCAGGATTATTAGGTACCACCGGTAAACGATTCCCACCAGCACATTCGCACTGCTGATCCGCCAGCTGCGGTCACCGGTCGGTGTCCTACTACACAATTCCTACTTAAAAATGAGAGAAGACCTGTACCCAGCTGTAGGACGTGTATAAGATATTTACTCTATTTCTGTACAAGAAAAATTCAAAAATTGAACAAAACACAATGATTTAATTCATTTTATTGATTATTCGTAAAAGCGATTACACATAAATATGAATCAGATGTATTATAAAAATGATAAAAATAGATGTATTCAAATAATAATGTATTATTACACATAAATATGATATGAGTATCGAGTACTTTGATCTGAGATAAGTAAAAGCAATATAGGAGTAAGTGAACCTATTCATAAGAACCTTTATCAGTAAACATCGATCGACCCTTTGTTTACTTAGTTCAATCAAATATTTGTCAAAATAAAAAATACTAGCTTGCCAGGCAGACGTTGTTCTGCGCTTCTCGACGACCCTTTGTCATGTCTTATTGAAAATCCTTAAATTCGCCAAAAAATAATTGTTGGTCACTCATGGGCAAAAAAACTATCCTATCTCTCAAGTTGGACCAAACTGCACACGGTGTGCAAATTAGATTAAAATCGGTTAAGTAGTTTAGAAGTCAATCGCGGACAAACAACGTGACACGTAATTTATATGCATTAAGATTTTATAAAATTTTAATAAAACCCCTGTTAACTTAGCCACTTAAATTATGAATGAGATCTGCCCAGGCATACATTACGCTTTTGACGTTTCTAGCGTTCTTATGTGATCCGCCTCAGATCATAAAAAATCCTCCCATTCTCGGATTTTTCCTGTATCATGAAGTTGTTTCATATATATAATCAAGTATGGACAAATATTTAGACTTATAAGTAGGCAGTACAAATAGTTCTTCCTCTCGGGATAAGAACCCACCACCCGTAGATTCACTGCAAATTCTTTAGCCACTGCACTACCAAGGACAAGATTTCAAAAACAGCAATTTTTGGTAAAAAATTACCTTTAATTATACGGTGCTTGAACTCTAGTATGTCCATTTGTAATATATACCTAATAGACTGCCTCGTTGGTCTAGTGGTTGTAGTAGTGCGACTGCTGATCATGAGGTCCTCGGTTCGAATCCCGGGTCGGGCCAAAAAATCAATTACTGAATTTTTCTGTCAAAAAATTCTCAGTAGCTGCCCGGAGTCAGGAAGTTGGCGGTGTCTCACCCCCGTGCCTCGGAAAGCACGTAAAGCCGTTGGTCCTGCGCCTAATCTCTCTCCTGGTCGTATCGGTTTACCGTCCCGTCGGATTACGAGAGTGAGGGAATAGAGAGTACACCTGTGCTTGCGCATACACATGGGCACTATAATCCTGTCCTGCGCCGATGGCTAGCCTCCGTTGAGGTAGGCCGCCGTGGCCGAAATTCGGTCTTGAGGACATTATTATTATTATTGGGGAGTATCAATATAGTTTTCTCATCTGGTTGGGTTCTATAAATATATAATTATAAATTAAAATGAAAAGATAATTATACATAAATATCAATTAAATTAAATAAATATAAAAATACATAAATAAATAAAAGCCCAACCAGATGGAGGCCCTCGGCAGGGAAGACCAAACGGCCGAGGGTTAGGGGGAAAGGGAAAGAAACCGGCAGACGATGCGGGCGGTATCGAGGAGCACCGCCTTCTGCATTTGAGCCAGGAGCGGTCCGCCACGTAGTCCCAGCCGCCTCACATGACCCGAGAGGTTGACTGGGATTAGCCCATTTGAAGAGATGACTACAGGAATAATTTCGGCCGGCAGACCACCCCACATGTCGGTCACCTCGTGTGCCAGGTCCAGATATTTTGTTCGTTTATCTGTTTCGGCTTCCACGAGGTTCTCGTCATACGGAATGGTAATGTTGACCAAAAATATCCTTGACTGTGCCCGGTCCATCAGCACAATATCAGACTTATTCGCAAGAATAGTCCTGTCTGTGATGATGGCCCGGTCCCAATAGAGCATGGCGCGATCATTTTCGAGCACGGCTTCCGGCAAGTACTTGTAATACGGCAATTTCCGATCCACGAGACCGTATTTCAGAGTAAGCTCCTGGTGTAGAATTCTGGCTACTAGGTTGTGCCTGTGCAAGTACTCAGAGTTAGAAAGCGCCGAACAACCGGAGATGACATGCCTAAGTGACTCA